CCGTCCGCCTCACTCTTCCAAATGAATGCAGCAATGTTGGGTGAAGTTACATGCTAGGATCCAGGATACAGGAGCTTCTTAGGATCAAGGATAATCCCCCCTCCAGGCAGCACAACTCATTCAACAGATCTACATTGCTGCAACCCGCACAACGAGTGTTGTTCTGCAGAGTGCGGTGATTCCCCCGTTCACATCTGACGTCACTCACTGCGCAGAACGTGAGGGACGCGAAACTTCGAGAGGAAGAGAAAAACATTTATGAAACTTCGGATAGAAGAAGTTTGAAGGGAAAATGGGTTAACGCACAATCTATTTTCGTGAAACTTTGAGGTACAAGACAGCAAATCACCGTCGGTAATTTGGAAACTTCTGGAAACATCAGTAGAACAGCGATAATAAAGACAGCAACAGGGTGTGTAGGAAGTGCAGCAAGCGGCTGAACCACCGGAGCCGACACCCGTAAGTAACCCGTCCTGCTCGCAAACAGACGCGAGCGAAATTCCAGGCCGACGCTGGGCCGTCAGATTTGTGCCTGGACGTCACCCGGCGCCGGAACATTCATTTTAAAGCTGATAAATAAGTAATTCCTGACAATCCAATAGTTGCTCAGCCACTCGAGAAGTTCTCAGCATTTTATGGGACCCCGAAAGTTCATTACCGTGTTCACAAGAGCTCACCACTGATCGCTGTGGCTAAATGAATTCATTCCACAACCCATGATCATAATTTTTTAAGATTCATTTTACTATTATCCCAGTAGTCTATTTCCTTCAGATCCATAAGACAGTAATATGCAAGCGGATATTTTTTGATCAAGAGAGAATTTCCTACGAAAATAAATATTTCTGTCACTTTCGGAGGCAAATAAGACATTACTATTTTAATAATATTGTCCTGTTTAGAGTGTGACTACAGATGAGGTATACTGACCACTTGTTACACACGATCCGGATCTTCACTAGTCGTTGCTTGGTAACAGCTCTTAACAACAAAGATTCTCCAGCTTCTGTGCTCAGGCCGTTACTATCTCTTCTCAGCCTCCCTTGCAGAATTCAACTCTCAACTAACTTCTTTGCCCCAGTTGTCTTCCTTATAACCCCTTTGCACGTTCCGAGCAGAAAACATCGTTTCCAACAGTAACTCTATTGTTCCATGCGTATTTTTGCAGCGGGGACGCGTTTACTGAACCGTTGCCCAGAAACGGCTGTACACGCTGCAATAGCCACGATCACCACAGTTTTACGCAATAGTGACAGTTTGTTTCTGTGTCGCCAGGTGTCTCTTCAGTACGAGGGTATTCACGTCTGTGGCGGGACCGTGCTGAGCAGCAGATGGGTCCTCACCGCGGCTCACTGCCTTCAGGATGAGTAAGTCTAACAGCACATCTGTGCTGCACTCGTGTTGCCCCTGCCACTCGCAATTCCACACAGCGAAGACACCCAGACGGGCGGTAATGCTTGTAGCCGCTTTTCGGGAAGCTCACGGCTCAAAGCTGGGGGTATTCTGAATGAGGCTTTTCGTGGGTTTTCTCAGTCTTTCAAGGAAAATTCTGGAATATTATCTCCCTTCTAAATAGCAATCGTTTCCAATTCACCGATCTTGCTACGCACTGGCAGCGCCGCGAAACTGCGCATGTGCACCGCGATTAGTTTTGACAGTTCTCCATACAGAAGCGCCGTCTGGGCTGAGCTCCACGCCTTCAGGGTCCAGCATTTCGGCACATCACAAGAGACAGCTCAGTCAGTGTAGGGACCAGACTGCGGACTGGTTGACTGGGGAGTCGGGGTTTGATTCCCTGCAGACTAAGACACTAATATCTGCTCCACAAGATCTCTTATTCAATGGGTACCGGGAGGCTTTAACCCCCTCAGGGTTAAAGCTGCCAGGGCGTGAAGCTAGTGCTGAGGCGAGAAATATGTGGGCGTATACCTCCACTCCTCCATAAGTCCTCAACACAGGATTCTTACTTAAGGACAGAGGATTTACCTTACTGAACTGAATCCTTCTGGAGACGCTAATAGTCGCTCAGCTGCTCAAGGATTCCCCAGCAATTTACACTGCCAGATGAATCCACTCCACACCCTAGTGGTCCCTCTGATTGAGGTTTGCATGACCTGTGGCAGGGTTGCGGCCGCCTTCAGCGTGCTCGCCGGTACGAGTGAGCTGTCCCGGGGCGGCGAGAGGAGACCCGCGCTCCGGTACCGCCTCCACGAGGACTACCGCCCCGAGAGCAACTACGAAAACGACATCGCCGTTGTAGAGGTAAGCATCTGGCGTCCTGACGCCGCTGCACGAAGCTTTTAGCGTCAAGCAGTAGGATGAACGGTGAATTTGAAGGGATCAGGAAGGAAGCAGGGCACTCTCCCGGTATTTTCTTAGAGGGACTGAGGGAAACCATGATGAGTCCCTGTCCAGATTCGAACCGAGCAGTACTACCGCTATGATAATCTGCTCATTTCTGTGCGTGCGTGCAGAAGCAAGCTACAATCCCAGCTGGTGTTCCCTCTGGGTGTGGAACCCGGAATCTCATGTCAGCGCAAGCGCGCAAGCTCTCTATGATTTGAGGCGCTACCGACGTTTCGGCGGAACCTACTGCCTCAACCTTCACGACTTCACATCCAGAGTCACTATCTTGGGAATCCCAGTTGTCTGTGAACAAGGTACAGAGGGGGATATTTGGACTTAACGGAGAAAATTACGTAATGAGGAGCTTCATAATCTGTACTCCTCGCCATATAGAGCGGTAGGAAGGGAAGGACTGGGCACGCAGCAACCACGAGGGGAGATGAGAAATGTATGCAGAATTTAGATTGGAAATCGTAGGTAGAAAAATAATATTAAAATGGATCTTACAGAAATAGGGCTGAAGAGCAGATTCGGCTGGCTCAAGATAGGTGTCAATAGCGGGAGCAGGTGAACACGGGGGTTGCATAAAAGCGGGGGACTTGGTGTGTGGCGTGGAGCGCCGCTGACCCCGTCTTCACATCGACACGTGAACTAGGTCGAGGACGCACACGCGCGCTGCCTGTTGCGGGAAGCTCGCGCGTTTATCCCTTCCTTCGCGGCCTCAAGGTCACCTCATTGACGTACCTCACAGGAAACACTCTCCGTCTCCATAACAACGCCCAGCCGGTTAATGCTGTTAAAATCTCGGCCGGTACGTCGACCAATTCGACTTAAGTCTCTCGTTGCTTTTCTCGCCTCCTTCAGGTCGATGTTGGGATAGTACCTGAAATTAGGCCACGACCGCTTCCTTCCAAATATTTTCCCATTCATATTCATGGATCGTCCTATCATTCGACGTTACATAATCTCAGACATTGAGAGAGACGTTAAATGAAGGTATAAATGAGGAGGCTTTCCGTTTCCTTTTCAACGGACATTACACTGCAAAGGCTGCAGATCTCCTCACTCACATTTCAGCTGCAGACTGAGCTGTCTATGAACGGAAACATGGCGGCCGTGCCCCTGCCCAGACAGTCGCAAGTCACACCTGGAGGACTCAAGTGCACGGTGATTGGCTGGGGATATCTGTTTGTAAGTGTTCATTTGTTTTCTTACTGGTCTAATTAACCGCTTGCGGACATATCAAAGCCAATGCCCTTGTGCGCCACTTTCGAGTATGGAAGTTATCCAGGACATGAGCAGAGCTCACTAGCCTGGGTGTTAATTTGTTGATTCATGTTAAGCAAGTACCGACTAGAGCTGCCGTGAGGTGCAAGCAATGAAATGCCTTTGCCCGCTTAAACACTGGAATCTTGGTTTCGAAACCCACTCGAGGCATAGACGTCTGTGTGTAAGTAGCGGCCTTGCGACAGGGCTGATCCCCAGTCCAAAGAGTCCTATCCATACTTCCACATTAATTCTGATGCCAAACAGGCCAGAGGGCCTAACACGAACTGTACAAGGAAATGAAGAATACGAGAGTAAAGTATGTAAACTGCTGTGCATAAAATTCATCAATGTCTTTATTTTTCGGTTATTCGCGAGGCGCAAGACGTAGGGAGAATATTGGGGGCCTCCAGAGCCGGAGACATAATTCTGATTAATCCAAATGGGGGGGGCAGGGGGGAGGGGGCCAGAAATTTGAGCAGTACTAATGAGTGTCACATTCCATCTTTGAATGTTCAGACAGTGCCCACTCGTCCTTCGGGTAAAGATGGACCGGAGAGAAAGTGTGGCGTTGGGAAGCGAGGTTTGTCACGAATATATAATATAAGTTGAGCAAGACCTTTACTGTTTCTGGTCGGAATTTTTTACGTTAGTGTTGGGCGGGTTGCGTGTGAAGCATGCACTGAAAACAGGAATTTGGGTACCGACTCAGCATTTGATAGGCTAAATAACGTCAGTCCGTACCTCACAGGGAACACACTCCGTCTCCATGACAACGCCCAACCGGTTAATGCTGTTTAGGGAAATAATCGCTGCTTACTGTGAGAACCATACGGAGCACATAAATACACTGTGTGGGCAGAATGCAGCAAATGGCGCTCTGAAAGGCTAATGTGGCTGCTGGCTGTATTGCAGACTGGAGGACCGACTAGTGACACCCTCAAGATGGTTGACGTCGTGACGTACTCGGACGAGCAGTGCGAGGCAGTACTCGAGGGTCACGTGAAGCCGAGCAACATTTGCGCCGGGATGCCCGGCGGCGGGAGAGGCCACTGCAGTGTAAGGAGACGCCTCATGTAACGGGAATTCTGAATGCACGGGGCAGTGAGGGAGGGAAGGAGGTAGTGGCTCTGCATAGCTCAACTTAACGTCACAACTGACTAACTTCATACAGCAAAACCCTTCTGGAAAAGCCTCCAGTGGCTCAGCCCGCCGTTTTATGTAAACCGAAAGTTCAGTGCCGTGTTAACAACAGCCTGCCACTTGTCCCTATCCTGAGCCAAAAGAATTCAGCCCACATTCTGACATCCTTTTCTATGAAATCCAATTTATTATTATTATCCTCGCATCTATGTCTAGATTTTCCTGATGGTTTCTTTTCTTCGGATTTTTGTTGCCAAATTGTTGTATGTTCTTACATGACATGAACATACTGTCTTCTGCCGTTACTTCACGAGACTGTCAGCATCTGTCTATACCACCTGACGCAAAGTGGTAGGGAACTGCAAAGGACTCGCATAGAGCAGGTCGTGGCCTAATATAAATCCTGCAGCTACTGAGAAAATCCACGAAGGTCCTCAGCCAGGAGAGTCGGTGTCCGACCGAGATTCGAAGCAAGGCCCCCCGAATATGAGTCTCGAGTATTACCGCTAAGCCATCCTGCTCAGTAACATGGTCCCTCTATTACAGAAGCCAAACAGCAGTTCGAGAGTTTTGGCGAGAATCGAACCGCAACCCCCCGCCCCCGAGTCCAGCTTTCGCAGCGATTGTTACCAATCAACACGAACGTGTAAACAAAATTAAAGTTGCCTTAATTAAGAAACAGGCCATGAAGGTGTATGGGGGAGTGGAGACGTGTCTCCACGCATTCTTAAGATCTGCGCTACATAGGAGAGTTCAGCTTTACCCCCGAGGAAGACACCCCGCTAACCTTGGATAGAAGGCTGTGTGGGCCCTAAACCGGTCTTGACGCGGTAGAGAACATAGCTCACTGGAAACCTCCCCCGTCCCAATACCCACTGAGCTATCCCGGTTCCCGAACTAAACATCTCAGAAATATATGGCACTATACAGGTTGATTCTGGAGGAGGCACTATACAGGGTGATTCTGGAGGAGGCACTATACAGAGTGATTCTGGAGGGGGCACTATACAGAGTGATTCTGGAGGAAGCACTATACAGGATGATTCTGGAGGAGGCACTATACAGGGTGATTCTGGAGGAGGCACTATACAGAGTGATTCTGGAGGGGGCACTATACAGAGTGATTCTGGAGGAAGCACTATACAGGATGATTCTGGAGGAGGCACTATACAGGGTGATTCTGGAGGAGGCACTATACAGAGTGATTCTGGAGGGGGCACTATACAGAGTGATTCTGGAGGAAGCACTATACAGGATGATTCTGGAGGAGGCACTATACAGGGTGATTCTGGAGGAGGTACTATACAGGTTGATTCTGGAGGAAGCGCTATACAGGGTGATTCTGGAGTTGACATATTTTTATGTATGTTTCTCAGGGAGATTCCGGAGGGCCTCTGATTGTGAATGAGGAACAGATAGGCATCGTCTCATGGTCCGTGAAGCCCTGCGCCCAAGCACCCTACCCAGGTGTGTACACAGAAGTTGCACACTACGTTAACTGGATCAAAGCTATCACCAGTATCACATAGTGGTAAACTAATGAAGCAGACAGTGGCTCACGTGTGATCTCTGACGGTTTAACTTCGATTGAGATAGAAGGCACAAATGTAAACGCAATGCTTTGTGATAAAGAGCAAGGAAAATAAGAAGCACATTATAAAGATCTGGTTTAAACCCGTGATGATATGAATGGCTTGATTTGCAGTATCGTGTCTGATAGCCCTCCAACCAACCCCCACGGAGCTCTGAACCCCATAAGTCCATGTTCATACGCTTCGGAACGGCAATGAAGTAGCTTAAATATTTCCATAATTAAACTAAGAACATTGTGGCTATGCTACAAGCCGGGAGGTCGCGGATTCAAGTCCCGATGAGGTCATTGGATCCTTCCGGCCGTAATATAGCCCTGGGGTCGACTCAGCCTCTAACAGAAATGAGTACCAGGAATTAATTAAATAATTTTCCTGGGGAGTAAAGCGCGGCCGGCGCGTAAGGCTGACAACCTCACCGCCATCTTTGAGCTGATTGTCTAGAAAATGTGGGAGCCTCAATGTCTCACAGCCCTATGGGCCTTCACGGCCTGGTGCAGGGATAGCTTTACTTACTTTCTTACTTTACTTATTTTACACTGTGGACATCGTGCAGTTTGGTAGATAGGTAAAACCTAGGCCTAGGTAGAAGGACGCTGCCTACTGAAATGGACGTTAAGAGCAACATGAGAGCTGAGGTTTTCACGGCGGTGACTATGAAGAAAGCCGTCTTCTGGGATGTGGCGCCGTGTATATATTGTGTAAACCGACGTTTCGGAGGAACATATCGCCTTCATATTCCGGGTATAAAAAAATCCGCTAGCGAGAAACCAGCGTGAGCAGGTGGCTACAGCCATATACCCTGAAGATGGAGGCGATACGTTCCTCCGAAACGTCGGTTTACACAATGTTTACACGGCGCCACATCCCAGAAGACGGCATTCTTCACAACATGAAGATGTTTGCTTGATTAGGCCAGCTCACGATAGGGACCAGCGATGCCCTCTGCAACCTCTACCTCGCTAAAATTCTCTCGTCTAAAGTGTGAAGTCAATAAACAGACATCAAATAAATATTAAAACATTTAATAATATTAATGACAAGTAAATTTAATGTTTTACCACGGATCCTTGCGCGTTACAATTCGGGATGTGTTGCCGGCAAGCGGTCTGCTGTAACTTTATCGAGATACCGGGAAAACTGTACCAGACTACACGGCGTCACAACCTACACGGTAATATTCCCCATCCCTGTTATTAATCAAAGCAAGTAGCTAAAACACTTGGTTCGTTATCGGGGTTTGGCCTTTATGCTTATACACAATTACATCCAAAACATCTGTAAACTGTTTCTCCTGAAGTAATTACGGGATACGAAGCCCGGTCTCTTTCCCGAGCTCCAGGTGGGGATAAGTGGCCCCACACGTAGCCAGAGAGACACCCACATTCGACCAGCAACGACCGGAAAATGTATCAGCCAGAAGATACAACACACAAAAAGAAATTTCTTATTACTGATAATATTTAAACAATTATAACCTAATTTATAATTTATGCATGTAACTTATGGCTATGCTAAGCAATGTGCTATGAAGATGGCCCGGAACTTGTAAAGCCACATAAGTAACAGAATTGTTGACCGCATCGGCAGATAGCATTGGTAATGCCAGGAGCATATCACTGCCATCTGTTGGCAATACGTATAACTACATACGCAGAAACATCTGTTCGCTCAAGCTCATAGACCAGTCTTCTCAAGTCAGTTTTTAAATTTCTGGAGCCGCAAAACGTTTATAATACTACAAATTCCACCTACGAAGGAATTCATGGAGCTTACCTCCTATCCCCCATAAATCTCCAGGGCAGTGCTTTGAAAACTAGAGGCGCCATTCCCCTAACTACCAAATTGACACAGAAATATTGGAGTTTAAGTGATATTTGAAGCAAACACCTCCCAAACACAAATCTACAGTTACAGCTACATCAACCTGCTACAGAAGTAATCAATTATTAGAGTTATATCACACCTCACAACAATATAACTTAAAAGTCTAGTGGTAATGGGATAAATTATTATTATTTAAACAATAACAATATACTGCAAGAAGCAGAAATTCTTGTTCCCCTTTCCCTCTCAATGTCAAAACATACAAGTAGAGCCACATAGGAGCCGAGATAGCTCAGTTGGTATTGCAAGTGGCTACAGGCTGGTCAAGGGGTGGGAGTTCAAGTCGCAGCAGGGTCATGAATTTTCACTTCTCTCGTCATCTAGACCGGCTCTGGGGTCCACCAAACCACCTATCCAATGGGTACTGTGAGCTCTTTTTCCAGGGGTAAAGCAGCCAGGCCATGAAGCTGACCACTCACCTCTAACTAATGCAGAGGTCATGAAAATGTGGATCTATACATCCACTCCCCCTTACGTCTTCATGGTGTAGTGCTCAATTAGTCAAACACAGGGACAACTTTACCTCTTTATAAAAGCCATATTTTAATTTAATAATTTTCCTGGGGAGTAAAGTGTGGCCAGCGCGTAAGGCTGACAACCTTACTGCCATCTTCGAGCCGATCGTCTAGATAGTGTGGGACCTTCAATGTCTCACAGCCCTATGGGCCTTCATGGCCTGGTACAGGGAAAGCTTTACTTACTTTTTTACTTTATAAGAGCCACATTAAGAAACTGAAGTTTACTCACAATAAAAAAAAATGGACTTAAATGAGGATTCATATGGCACCAAATGTCTCTGCCACAACACTTGCACATTGCTGTCGACAGGCATGGTTACCGTACATACTGGTAATATTATGCAGTAGATTTGAGAATATCTTTAGGTGTTCCTTGCTTCAGAAAATGGCAAACAGAACAGCTACGATTCTATACACATTAAATAAATGTAACGGAATGAACGTGTCACTTTATTAAATCTGTGATAAACATAGAAATCTGACAATGTCCAGCTGGTAAGCAGCATAACACCATGAACTAGTAGCAGATGGATGGATGAACAAATTTGAGCACAGAGGTGGTAAACACACTGCAATGCAGCACACACACAACACACTGAAATTTTATTTACTTACATGTAAATATAAATACTTATTTACATACATACACAACATAACACATTTCTCCAGAAGGCAGGCATGCATACACAGACAAACAGGTATATGAAGACAATTCGCTGGAGACAGAGAGAGAACCTGTCGTTAGCATCCATCATTCCAGTTCATTCTCTGGAGGAACAACCTCCAGGAGCACTTGTATGAAATATGTAAACTCATCTGAAAGAAGAGAGGGTAAAAAATCATTTTATATTTCACTGAACAATACGTACACACACTCACACCTGTACAACTCATGACAAATTCTACTTATAGAAATAAAGTAACCAATTAATGGAAGGAAAACCTGGACAGAATAAGCATTGAAACATTAGAGATAATTTAAAGATAAATATCTGGAAGGTAAAGTACTAAAAAATGGAATAAGGTGGTATGGCGCCAGTTTAAGACTTTACAAATACAGAATAAAAAAAAAAGACTCCGAACACGAGATTAAAAGGAAGACCAAGAACAAGAAGGGAACAAGATAGTAGGAAATGTGTCACACAGAATTAAGGAAGGGCATGGGGCATAACCAAGGCATCACTAGATGTAATTATTTATCAGTTAATCTTCAGATGTATTTATCTTTAAATTTTCCCTATTCTTATCATGACTTGTTTTTCTTCTTTACCTATAAACAAGGCAACTACTCACTCATCCATTTTGGTCGAAACTTGTGATAAACTAATGGCACATACAGAATCATTCCAAGCCCAATAAACAGGAGGGCAAGGAAATATTTTGGTGTTGGGTCTGTGATGATTGGCACCAAACAAAGGAACAATGCCACAAGAATCACCAGCACTGGAATAAAGACAGGAACCTGAAAACAAATAAAGAGATCCCTGCTCAAGACAACTGAAGATCTGCAGGACTTGAAGTCAGTCCACTTTATCAGCTCTGCCCAGAGCTCACTGCTCACAGAATGCCTTACCTTGTAGTGTCTACTTGCATCTTTCTTGGTTTTCCTCATGACCATGAGGGCCACCATTGCAAATCCATAGAATATCCAAACGAGGAAGCTGCAAAAGTCAATGAGTGATTTGATGTCACCAGAAATGATGAATAAGAACGCCAAGAGACCCTGAATTCAAAGAAGTACAACATTAATGTACAAACACAGCGACCCCACAAACCGCCCTATTAACATTTTCCCACCCTCACTCTTACAGCTACAAATCTGCAAGCTTATTAAACTGCGAAGACCCCTTGTTACGGGAAGCTCTAGAACTCCTGCAATTTGAATAGTGTTTTTGTTTGTAATGCCATGGCATTTGGAGACAGCCCAGCATTTCAGACAAACATATCACCTCCATCTTCATAATCGAAGAGCATGCCGCAGAAGAAACAGCTAAGCTAAGTTACCTGCCTGCCTCTGCTGGCTTATTACTCGGCTTACTTGTCAAAGATGCAGGTGATAAGTTCCTCCGAAATGTATTACTCTCTCCAAGTACACGGTGTTACAACCCAGAAGTCATCGTTCTTCATAGCCATGCAGTGACAGCCTCAAGTACAACACACTAGAACCAGCGCCAATGAACATGAAGAGCAAAGATATAACACTCAGCATACAACCATAATCTGGCAGTAAGTTCAGAGGCGGTGGCAGAAGGCTCCTGACAGTGGACCGCATGGGAAAGCTACAATGCTAGAAACCTACTGACAGAGGACAGGAAAGGGTTACTGAAACAAACAGCCAATAACAGAGTTAGAAGCAAAGGTTTAACATTAAGTCAAGGCACAGGAAATGTGGAATATACAACTTTGGCAGCAAGACTGTGCTGCTCTATATATAAAGTCATTCTCTCCTAAAGACGTTGCACAAATGATACCAGACGGTACATATAGCTTGCTGAAATCTGAAAGCATCTATGTGACTGATGACTGTTTCTCACCTGTCCTCTTCAACTTCTGCTTCTAATGTAGTGTGTTGAAAAGGTATTTTTCATGGGAACTGGATGCCCCAGTGGGCCCAATCCCAGTACGGGCTCATTGCATCACAAATTCAGGGCCTTAATATTAGGCGTAATTTTGATCTTTATCGCCGTCAGACAAATTTGACAACTTACCAGAGAGGACCTTACTATTTTGGTATTAAACTTTTTAATCATCTTCCTTTAAATATAAAAGAGTTAATCCATAAAATTACGCAATTTAGAGCAGCTTTAGGTGCCTTTTTACATACTAAATCCTATTACACTTTAGATGAATATTTTAATTAGGGATAGTTTCCTGTTTAGCTATGACCCATTATTTGATCTATTGTCATGTACATGTTCCAATTTTGTATATATCTTATATCCACATGGTAGGTTATGTAGTTGCAGTGATGTGTAGGGTTTCATATGCTTGATTTATTGTTGCGGATTTATATGCATTGTTCTGTAGACTACTTGCTGATTTAGCAAGCTTGTGGTGCGACAGGTTCTGTATCCAGTGGCTTCAGCCTTGTGTGGATGTGCTGGAACGTGTAATAAATACAATACAGTACAATGTGTAACGCTAGAGAAAAAGTCCCCAATGGATTGCCACAGAAATGAACTAGGGCCACCTTACAAAGATCCCGGTACGTATGAGATATTTCACAACTGCATAAGCACTGGCATCACGTCACTGACCTGGAGGAGCACGGCCGGTGCAGGGGTGAGGCGTCTCATGTGTATGTAGGAGAACGCCTCCACCATGTGACCCTCTCTGCCAGCCACATAACAAAGCCTTGCAGTAGCGAACTGATTGTTCAATGCACACCCGAACGTTGATATCGCCACACCAACGGGAATTATAAAATTCATCACCCCAAGCATTCTGTCACCAAAAACCTGAAATCTTCCAACATATATGAACAGTTGTGTGACTCAGAATTTCTGTTATTCATTTAGGTTCATGGGCTTTCGTTTTCACTGGGAAATATGTAATTTTGTTAACTTTAATACCATTTATGTCAAACATTTACACACACCCCTTTTCTTTTCTGGCTTTTTTTCCAACAAGTAATTTCATTAATTCATTAAAAAAATGTGAAATACAGATAATCATAATATTAAAACTAACCTACATATATCATAAGGTACTGTCAGTTTGCAGTAAATTCTAGGACTTTTGAAAAGGATGTAATAATTACCACCGCGACTGCCGACGCTGTTACCATTTCTGGTATTGTAAGTATCGTCATGTATGCTACATTCATCATGAGGTACACTGCTGTCACAAGAGGAAGCGTGATTACGATGCTACGTAGAACATTGCTGTAAGAGAACGTACGGTTGCACTGTCACTCCAACCCCTTAAGAGTCTCCATAAAACACAATCTATGTTTAACGTCAGTCCATTCAAAGTTACGTGCAATATGCACCGAAGCTGCGTTAGCACAACAATCCTCAGACCTCAGACATATTTAAAGTTCAGAGAACTTCTATATATTTTCAACTGAAAGGAGTGATATGGTAAAACCAAAAAGATAATAAACTTATGTTAAACATGTGACAGAAAAATTATGAGGACAGTGTATGGACAAGTAACCAATGTTTTAGTCGCCAATTTGAAAAACTTCCATATTTACTTTTTGATTACTGAAGGACCTGTACTGCGGTCTTCAACAGTGTAACACGACAGTTTAGCAGATGGCTAATATTTTGGACAATCCTGCTGCCTTCACGTTCATGTTAGGAGAAGTGTATGCATTCAACCCTGAAGATGGAGGTGGAAGTTTTGTGAAACGTTGGTACCCATATGCAATACGATGTCATAATACAGTAGAACGCAGTATGAATTTTGCCTGCTGTGAAAAAACTGAATCTTATAAAATAATTTATTTACTTACACTTCAGGCTTCTTGACTTCTTCTGTGATGACTGTAATTGTAGACCTGTTAAGAATAAAAACAGAACAAAGAGAAAATGTCAGCATCCAGATTCTAAATTATTATTACCGTAATTGCTTCTAATGTTTCATTGTTTACAAAATGTTTGTATTTTAAGACTTCACATCTGAACTTCATCTAAATAGTACTTAAAAAATTCAGTTCCTGCTACCTTACCATAAACACACTCCATCTCCATAACAAAGCCCAACCAGTTAATGCTGTTTAGGGAAATAATCGCTGTTTATTGTGAGAGCCATACGGAACACATAAATACACTGTGTGGGCAGAATGCAGAGTTTTAGTATCTTGAAGTCCGTACCTCACAGGGAACACACTGTCTCCATAACAAAGCCCAACCGGTTAATGCTGTTTAGGGAAATAATCGCTGTTTACTGTGAGAACCATACGGAACACATAAATACACTGTGTGGGCAGAATGCAGAGTTTTAGTATCTTGAAGTCCGTACCTCACAGGGAACACACTGTCTCCATAAGAAAGCCCAACCGGTTAATGCTGTTTAGGGAAATAATCGCTGTTTACTGTGAGAACCATACGGAACACATAAATACACTGTGTGGGCAGAATGCAGAGTTTTAGTATCTTGAAGTCCGTACCTCACAGGGAACACACTCCGTCTCCATAACAACGCCCAACCGGTTAATGCTGTTTAGGGAAATAATCGCTGTTTACTGTGAGAACCATACGGAACACATAAATACACTGTGTGGGCAGAATGCAGAGTTTTAGTATCTTGAAGCCCGTACCTCACAGGAAACACTCCGTCTCCATAACAAAGCCCAACTGGCTAATGCTGTTTAGGGAAACAATCGCTGTTTACTGTGAGAACCACACGGAACACATAAATACACTGTGTGGGCAGAATGCAGAGTTTTAGTATCTTGAAGTCCGTACCTCACAGGGAACACACTCCGTCTCCATAACAACGCCCAACCGGTTAATGCTGTTTAGGGAAATAATCGCTGGTTACTGTGAGAACCATATGGAACACGCAAATACACTGTGTGGGCAGAATGCAGAGTTTTAGTATCTTGAAGTCCGTACCTCACAGGGAACACACTCCGTCTCCATAACAACGCCCAACCGGTTAATGCTGTTTAGGGAAATAATCGCTGGTTATTGTGAGAACCATATGGAACACGCAAATACACTGTGTGGGCAGAATCTACAGCTTCTTACTTGATGTAGAATAGGCACTATACATAGTTGCCAATATAGTTTTAACTGAGAAAATTATTTTCTTTCTCTTCCATAATTTTAAGACGCACAATACAAAAGTGTCTCATATCTCAATGCAAACCTGACCTCTTTATAGCACACCATGTTCAAATAAACGGTACAACCACACACCCAGGTCTGATGTAATGCTCTTATGTATGGTGATGTGGGAACACCAGTACCAGATGACATTAGTTTGAGTTCAGTTTTTAAATTATATCGCCATCCTTGTCTCCACATTAAGAGCCCCCTCCCCAAAAAAAACCCCCAAAACTGCACAATATACATTTCTAGCTGATAGAACAACAGATTCTATAGTACAAATGTACAAAAGTTTTACTTTGAATGTCTTCCAACAGAATGGAAGTCAATCTTCCTAAACCTGTGAACACCACAAAATGAGTATGAAGTATTGCCTTTTTTTACCATTTTAGCATTTGAAACTTCCAATATTGTGACTTAAATTAAATCTGCAGACACACTCACCATCCACCGTATGACCAGAGGCAACCATAGAACGCTAAAGCCAAATTTTCTGGAGAGGCTGCTGAGCCTTCAGAACCTTTTGACAAATTCTCCGTCTCCCCTGCAAACAGACATGAGTATCATCTCCGTGTGTACAAACAAAATGGAAGATTCTGCGCTATAAACATGTGACGGGGGATGAAAATGAAATATCACTGACAGCCAACACAGGAACAACATTAGTATCGTGACCCTTAATGTATCAATATATCAGTTCAACAGCAAACAATCAAAATGGACTTATGATGAAAATGAAAGCAGACTGATTTGAATACCTTAACACAGGTCAGTTAAAAATCTTCCATTGACTGCCCAGCATTTTAAAACCTAAAGACTGCACGCAACCAGTGATGCATTTACATATAAACTAAACGTGCTACAGCTTGGGACCTGCAGATACATGGAAGGAATCTCAGCCACAAGACAACATGACATTATCCAGAAGAACTTGGAAAATAACAAATGAATGACAGAATTTTGTCTGACTGGAACGATGGGAATAGCTCCCACAGGAGGAGCCGCGACAATCAGCATAAAACTGGGAGGCAATATTGCTCCTTGCAGTTCAGTGCTTACATTGTTGCCAAATAACATATTTCTGGAGATAAACAAACATACATGGACACATCTACGTATCATATATATCTATATTTGTTCTATTTGTGTGTGTGTGTGTGTGTGTACCTCATCTTTTTCACAGCTTAGAGCCTAGAGGCTAGTGGCAAAGCTTCCATGTTCTCATGGATTTATTCAGAACCAACCCATCTTTTCATGCCTTTCTTATGCAACTGGCCAGCACTCACCAGTACAAAGCAGGACCACGCCAGTCAGGATGACAATGCCACACACGACAAGCTTGCACACAGAGAATATGTTCTGCATCCGCACATAGAGCTTCACGCTCATGAAATTGATGACAGTCATCAAACCTGTTGAAACGAAATCACAGGGCTTCAATGAGGTAAGTAGCAGATGATCTGTGATCTATAAGCACAGAAGGGAGAACTGCAACAGAACAGAAAATAAATGGTAAAAAAAAGAAGATAATATAAAAATAAACACCATGGGTGACAACTTCATAAATAAGAGAATAAGACAGTTTGGATACCATTTAAGAACCAAAGAATCCCAAAGAAGATTTTGAACATGAAACTAAAAGGAAAACACCGAAGAGGAAAAGCAAGAGCAAGGTGGAAACATCAAGTACAGAAACACATCACACAGTAAGATGGAAGAACATGGGCAGTAAATGAAAAGCAGAGGCCGGGGAAGACAAGTAGAGACGGAGAAGCTTTGTTGCTAGGCAACCCACACAAAGTGGAAAGGTGTGTGAAGAAGGTCAAGGAGGGGAGAGCAGAAGGGGCTGAGAAGAGGAAGAAGCAACTGAAAAGTGTAACTGTAAACAAATTCATGATGCAGGAGAAATCACTTCGGAACAATCAGGAGATATTCAGTCAGAATTCCGACTCTTAAATATACCGTCTTTCAGATCGAGTTTCCAAGTTTAATTTAATTTACTGGCGAGAAAGCGAAACATCTACCTCTGGTACAGGTGACGGTTTCAACCTGTAAGCAGAAGGATCTGCACAGGGATGTGAGTGGCAGGACTGAAGGTGAGCCACAGCCTCACCCTGACGTCCAGCATACATTATGAGTCTATCCTTTTCTGCTCACCTAAGCCTACAATTGCAATCATCTTCTTGACCATATCCTGTGACTCTGGTGTCATGCCACTCATCTGATGGGCAAACGGGTGACAGACGTATTCTGAGAATGTCAGTATTATGACCGCAGTTGACGTTGGATTCAGTATACAAACATTGATGAAGGCACAGACGAAGGACGGCAGTGGACCCCAGAATTTGTGGAGACTTCCAAATGCTTCCAGGAAGTAGGAGTACTCTGCCCCAGAACGAGGCACAACAGAGCTCAGTTCAACGAATGTTAATGCTCCTGCAAAAGATGACATCAGCTCTGTAAAATCCTTGGTTACAAAGGAACACACCTAAGTAAAAGTTTAAGTTATCCCTGGACTTAATTCATTAGGCACCATGCCACTGAGACATATCGGGGAGTGGAGGAATAGCTCCACCATTCTTATCCTCGACACTGGATGGAGTTGAGTGGTAAGTTAAGTTCCATGACCCTGTCACTTCACCCCTGGGGAAACAGCTCCCTGGTACCTGTTATATGGGAGACAGAGTGGGCCCCAGAGCTGGTCCAGATATTACGGAGATAACTCCAATAACAACACTCCTCTATAGATATAAAAAAGCAATGTATGTATGAGATTTATCAGTGTTTAGTCAGGATAGCGCACTCGATATAGTGACAGGCTATGGGCTGGATGACCGACAGCTCAGAGTGTGAGTCCTAGTAGGGTCAAGAATTTTCTCCACATCATTCAGACCAGTTCTGGGATCCATCCAGCCCCTTATCCAAAGAGTACCAGGGGCTCTTTCTCCAGGGGTACGGTGGCAGGGGCATGAAGCTGACCATTCATCTCCAGCTAGACCCAAGGTCAAGAAAATGTGGATCTATACAGCCCCTCCCCCATACATCTTCATGGCGTAGTGCTTAATTTGTTGAGCACAGGGGCAACGTTACATATTTTACCTTATAAAATTGCGCGTTATCACACAAAGTGCTGTCAAGCATTACATGCAGCACGAACATGGGTCACATGCTAGTTCACGAGCAAGTAAGTAGAATTCTGTTTCAGCATATCAGGTCTGTTCTGTAGCTACTGATAACACTTTGTCACTTTAAAGGTCATCTATGTCTCTGACTTCTGAATGGTCAAACAAGACATTCTGCAGGGCTAATGCCTCTGATCCATACAATATGACTTAACCAGTTGCATTTTAGACTGTGCCTATTTTCTTTTGAATGGGTTTGTGCCAAATTCTGCAAAGTATCTCTGTATTTCAGTGAACTGTGTGGCTCAGGAATTTCATTTCTGTCTTCAGTCTTTTTATTAATATTGTTATGATAGGTATATAGGCTTGAAAACTTAACTGTTGTCAACTGACAAGTTAAAAAGAAATCTGAAGAAACACAAATATGAAAATCGTTATTCTGGTAAAGAAGGTAATACAGCACAATAAAAGCAATTTACCCATCAAGGAGATGGCTCCGCACACTGCCCAGATGACAAGGCACAGCCCCACAGATCCAGCCCGCTCGAGTGCTATTGATGGCGATATGAATATTCCAGAGCCTGCCAACATAACATTGTTTTAACCACAAAGCAGATAAAATGCATTATAAATCATTTAGATGTAAGTATGAAACACAGAGAGAGTACCAGAGCGATATTAACCAGAAAAAATATGTCATCAGCAGAACAACTCTTGCCACTCCCAGCATTAATCATATTAATGTATTATGTCTGAACATCACCACACAAACATTAGTGTGCATCAGTAACTCTTTAAAGCGCAATTGTGGTTATGGCTAAAGGCCAGATGCACTTGCTTCAACATTAACATCAGAATAAAAGAACTTATTTCTATGTTTACATATAGGATTTTCTTCATCAGCATTACAAATATGCATAGCAATTTCTGACACAATGTTTTCTTCCTGTTCTTACTTGAAAATTTTTGTTCGAGACCTCACTTATGGACTGCTTCGCTGTGAGGCCACCTTTTCCTTTTGGCAATATTGTGGGTTTGAGAACATGATTTACATTCCTTAGATGCATGCCCCATTTATATTCACACTAAAGTAACACGCTGAACACTTCGTACCAACCTTACTCGCAACTTACGTTCGGAAGAAATACCGCCACATTTGTAAACAAATGAAGTCAGAAATTATCGATATATCTCTACGTGGAACTCTCGCTAATGCGCCAACATCACTGCAAATTTGCTCTCAAGACATGAGTTGGTGAAAATGGAAACTGGGAAACTGCTTGTAAAATACAATTTGAGCCACTTTAATTAAGTACAAAAGCGGAACTTGACCCTAAGTAAATGGTTGCGTATCTGCTAACTAGGTCACAGTGACAACAGAATTTTCCTTAACCGTAGTCTGAAGCCAGATCTACGTAATGAAATATTAACCGAAGATGAAAATTTCGCTAATTTCACCTCATGCTCGTAGATACCCGATAAATATTACAGTTTTTAGATTACACCTTGTACGAGTATAAAGCAAATGTTGTCAAATGTAACTGCATTTTGTCCTAGTGCGTATAATTTTCGTTGCAAATTGTTCAGCTCTTTCGTGTTTCGCTTATTATTTGTTTCCATAAAATGAATCCATACTTCCTAATGATTTTCTACCAACTATCCTTTCAATTTTTACAATTAAAGTTATCCAAATTGATGAATCGCTTCCTAAGTATTTCGACTTTTGCACTCATTCAATTCAGAAGTGTACTTCCTGTAATAAATGTTTTTGCAGCTTAAAACTGTGAACACTTCCAGTAAACAAATCATTTTATTTACAAAAGCTAAGTTCATTTCGTGATGTAATGGCTTCAAAATCCAGCCTTTGAGGCTTACAGCAAAGAAGACAGCAGGTCCTCGTTACTCTTCGAGAGCGAAGGCACCAGGAAAATGCCTTCTCTTTTCCTTTATTGGAGTTATTTTCTTTCTCCTCTCTCTCTCATTACCCCGTTCTCCTCCACCTTCTCCTCGATGTTATTCTTTTACTCCTCCTTCCTCTGTCCTTCTCTGCACTGTTTGCTTCCTCGGTGTTCTAACGAGGACACATGCGGATCTGGGACCAAAGAGAAATATTTTTGGTCAGTCTATCCTTCTTTCTCTTTCTTTCCTCATTTTAATGCTTTCTTTTTGTTATTCACTTCACGATGCTATCAGTAGTTCAGGATACTTTGTGTCGAACAGTAGCATGAAAGATGAATGACGAATTACAAATGATTTAAAAGGGAACGGCCATGAATTAATCGAGGTACTATCCCGACATTTGTCTGGAGAGACTGAGGAAACCCATGAACATCTTCAGTGTAGACAGCCGGTGTCTGGGCCGAGATTAAAACCGAGCACGAGTCTGAAGTGTTACCGCTACGGCAACCTGCCCGGCCCCTCGCTTGTTCCTGTGTCTGCTAGAGCGGCTGTCGTGCTCACTTGGGTCTTGGATGTGGCCGATGAAAGCGAAATTCTTGATGGGTTCTGCAGAACTGTGAATCGCGGGGGGAGTGTGGACTAGTGGGCCAGTAGCCAGCGAATCTCTTCAGGCTGCTGACCCACTTTCCGTACTAAAAAAGCGGAGAGCAGACAAAGATAAAAGCTCATGATAACACCTGACTCTGATGTCAAGGGGCAGGACAAGAAAACCCGTAAGCAGCATGGTCTTCTAGATTGTACAAATCCTCGTAGTTCGGCGACATCCCGACGTTTTCGAGGAACATATCGCCTCCATAATCAGGATCGAGGATTAAGCCAGGCAAAAAGCAGGCAGCAAGCTCATAAGACATGTTCCTGCGAATGGTGGGACTCGCCCATCGAACTGCACGGCATTACAATCCACAAGACCGCCGTGGGAGCGCCGAAGCGGTGTTGCTTACCTATCATGCACCCCACATTGAGGTTGACAGCACTGAACAGTCCAAGTTCTCGTTTCAGTTCCACCTTGTTCAGCATTTCTGTACTTCTGGTTGGCAGGGATTCTGTGCTCTGGCCCGGAAAGGGCTCGACGCTGCCTCCGGGCAGTTTGACCTCTCGGTTGTGGAGCCCAACTGCCACAAGGAGAAATTAATTAAAACCACGGGCACCGGCTGTAGAGGGGGCCAGCCATCTACGTTTTTGAAAACACGTCAGAATCGGTAAAGAAGGAAGTAACCAAATGCTACAGAGGCCTACAGAACGCGGATATTCTCACAAGATTTAAACGTAGGTTTGTTAGCAAATTTTGTGGCTTCCCCCTCCACTCACATCCCCCGTGAAAATGCCCCTAGCAGCGCGCATATTGGCACCAGCCCCTTATACAAACCCGTGCAACAACAGTGATAAGCTGTTTCATAAAATATGTTCATGGTCGCTCTTCTGCGATATAATACCGTACAGTCTTGTACGTGTGTATGAACCTTTCGGAGGAACTATGCCTTCATTTGCAACATGATGTACGAGGAGACACACTGATACGTATGTACCAGACTGGACGGCGCGATATCTCAGAAAACAGTGCTCGTCACTCGTGTTGTACGATGAAATGAAAACAGGGGACAATGATGAGTGACTGAAGAATATCACGGAAACACTCGAGACAATCTGTGTGCTCCCAAAAGTTTCCAAACCATGCCGCATTGCTCAATTTGTCGTCTCGTAAGCTGCATCAACTGGCAGACGTAAACACGACTTACACTCCGAGGGCGTCGCTGCCACCATCTTGACCCACTTCTTATTATTATTCCTCTTCAGTTCTTGGCATCAGCCTGCAACCGAACACAACAGAAACCGTTACGGTCATTTGTGCACTAAAACACAAACTGCGCCAATCATCTTCGTCAAGTCCGTCCGTGTTACCAAGCCAATCATCTTCGTCATGTCCGTCCATGTTAACACGCCAATCATCTTCGTCATGTCCGTCCGTGTTACCAAGCCAATTATCTTCATGTCCGTCCATGTTAACACGCCAATCATCTTCGTCATGTCCGTCCGTGTTACCAAGCCAATCATCTTCGTCATGTCCGTCCGTGTTACCAAGCCAATTATCTTCGTCATGTCCGTCCGTGTTACCACGCCAATCATCTTCGTCATGTCCGTCCATGTTAACACGCCAGTCATCTTCGTCATGTCCGTCCTTGTTACCAAGCCAATTATCTTCATGTCTGTCCGTGTTACCACGGCAATCATCTTCGTCATGTCCGTCCGTGTTACCACGCCAATCATCTTCGTCATGTCCGTCCATGTTAACAAGCCAGTCATCTTCGTCATGTCCGTCCTTGTTACCAAGCCAATTATCTTCATGTCTGTCCGTGTTACCACGGCAATCATCTTCGTCATGTCCGTCCGTGTTACCACGCCAATCATCTTCGTCATGTCCGTCCATGTTAACAAATCGAGATCAGTTGAACGGTTTTCTATGAGATATATTGGAAATTGAGATATATATATATATATATGGAGATATATTGAGAAATATTGGAGATTTTTACTAAAATTTGTTTGATAAATTACAATTTGTTTTGTTGTTGTTAAAATCGAACAAAAGGGGAAAGCAGGAGAAGACAATAGTGAGAGCTTGTAACAACCAATGACGACAATTCCCGTTGAATTCGCAGCGGGCGTTACGCGAGTTTTCATGAAATCTCTTATAGGATACTATTACCAAAATGTATAGACTCATTCCAGGTTTAGTTAAAATCGGACAATACCGGACATTTCACACGTATCTGCGCGCGCATCTCAAGCGTAACCCGCTAAATATTTATCGGCGCAAATTCTATTTTTGACAAACGTCAAGATAAGAAAAACATATATTCTGTGTCTAGCATAACCGTACTGGACTGAGTGGCCATGTCACAATTGTTTAAGCGGCCTTTAACCGAGATAAATACTGCTGAAGACCGTGTTCCATTTCGGTGGCCATGATAGTATGACACGTCGGTGTCTGGTAGGTCACCACCATTTCGAATGAACACACTACCTCAATTTTCAGCCTCGATGGGTAACCAAAGCAAAAAGTATGCGGCAAGCCTTACTTTTAGAACCTGAAAATGAGGGACGTGTGTTCCTCCGAAACGCCGGTGAAGTTCTGCCGGGCTGCACGGCATAACATCCAGGAAGACGGTGCTCTGAGACAAGGCCTGGCCAAATCAAATAATTTGTCCACGATAACTTAAACTTAATTAATTATATCAAAAAGAGGTTATTTAACATTTCCTTGACAAGCTGATGGTCGGCTGGTTGCTAAAGAAATGCCCTGCCCTTTATGGGACAAGAAAAATCATTACCGTGTTCACAAGAGCCTGTCACAGGTCCCTATCCTGACTCATTAACCTCGTTCACACCCTCTCATCGTTGTGATGTTGTTATGGCTCTACAGCCTTCTGTTGGGCCTTGGCAGCTTTAGAGTTTCTTAACCACAAACACAATCGGTAGGACTCCTTGGAGGGGGGATCACCCCGTCGCTAGGCCGCTACCTGCGTACAGAACACCACAAACACAGTAAACGTACACAGACATCCATACTTCGAGTGGGATTCGAACCCATGATCCCAGCGGCCGAACGAGTGAAGACAGTTCACACCTCAGACCGCGCGACCCCCGTGACCGACAGACCCTCTCATTACACTTCATTAACACCAATTTAATATTATCTTCCCATCTACACTTACGTTTTCCGAGTTGCCTCCTTACTTCAGTTATCTGACCAATGTTTTGTACGTGTTTCTCATTTCTCCCATGTGTGCTACATGACCATCCGTCTCATCGCCCTTGGTTTCATTACCCTTATAATATTTAATAACTGCAACTCCAATCTCCTGTTACATACAAACATTCACACGCGGAGCATTCGCTTAGGAAACATTTCTGCTTTCTGTTCGAGAGACCCGTGGTTGAAATCTAAGTTCGGTTGACAGCTGCGCTCACTGAGTTTCTCGTGGTTTTCTCAGTCCCTTCAGACACATGTCAATATGTCGCCCCACCGTTCGACATTGTACAATCTGCGTTACTGGCAACGTCGCTTGAAAAGCCAAGCAGCGGTTGGCGTGCGCCTGAGTAACGAGGTTACGGAGAACTTACCGGTCAGGTGTTGCCCGCGAGCTGCCTGGAGACAAACTGCGGTCTGTCACGCACCTGCAACAGCAGACAAGCAGTCAGGGCTCCTATCAACTCATACGGTCTTGCGTGACTTGCCCCCAACCTACCTCCCCGCCATCTCTAAAAGCCTCGACGGCTCAAAACCCTATGGGTCTCCACGGCCTGTTACAGGGAGTGTTTTATTTTTACCTATTTGACGACGCCGCCAGAGACAAATGATGCCTAAGAATGGATGTGGAAGGAAACGGTAGTGATCTTGTCAAGAAGAACTGAGGAAAACTGTGAGGAATTCAGCCAGGATAACGGATGTGCCGGCCAGTTCAGAGCTACAGCGCTCGGTACAGTACTGGTGCTCACAGAATGTTGCATGAAACTTTGGCCCATAACAGATCGCTTCTGCATGATTTCTTCATTTTATGCGAGGGATGAGTGATTTGGGGAATGGACATGTAGCACGGGTCAGTAATTTTTATCGCGCGCCCTCTGATATTGCCTTTAAGTTTCCAATTTGTGGACGACAATTTCTGGTCCCCTCTTAGAAACAGCGTGAAATTGGCGGAACAGACAAGAATCTTACCAAAATCAGCTCACCAGTTCTCTAGTTACCAGACCATCTGGAATACCATTTACTCGTGCAGAGAACCGCAAAATGGCATGAGACAAAAAACACGAATTTTATTTATCCTCTGCGGCTTTTGCTCGGAACAGTTCCAGTTTTTTGTAACACCCGTTGTGAACTCAACGGAACATCCAACCGATTTTTTTTTTATAATCTTTCGCGCTATTACCTCCCCCTGCTTTCTCCCGCATTTCTTTACAGTCCTACATATTATCGAATGGTACATGGAGGCCGAAGTTTACACCATCTCCCACCAATAACACCCACAAACAGTCAACCATAAACCGTCTCCTGTATGTAACATATCTACATTAAAATATTGTTAGTATCCGCGAAATAGACACGATATGCGGGTGAAGAAAGTCTGAAGAACGTAAACTGAACATTTTTTTTAAGTTTCTTATTGTAAAAATTGGTTCGCGTAAGTTCGTTTATCATAGGAAGTAACCACGGCGGTAACGGGGACTTGACCTGTCGTGAATACTCATGGAGTGGACACTGCAAGACAACGTTGCTGGCGCGAGGCCTCGTTGCCGGACAGTTCGTTGTTTTGTTGATTCAGCGGTACGCAGACTGCAACATGTGACGACAACAACCTGATGACGCACGGTCAGCGTGCGCATTTTTGCCAAGTTTCGTTGAGAATGTTGCAACATGGCCTCGAGTCTGGAATGCTTACATGTGGAAACCAAGGTGACTGAAATTATATAACTTTCTCTGCGTGATTACTGGCTCATTACAGGCAAGTCCATTCCAAGGGCTGTGAACCAAGGCCTTTAAGCTACATTGAATGAGTAATTCTTGGGAGCAGTTTCCCTTGGAAATGCCAGGTTAGAATCTCGGCAGCAACAGCAACTATCCTCAATGTAAGATTTGAGGCTTTCACGGCGGTGACTATGAAGAAAGCAGTCTTCTGGGATTTGGCACCGTGTATATGTGGTGTTAACCGACGTTTCGGAGGAACGTATACACGGTGCCAAATCCCAGAAGACTGCTTTCTTCAACTATCCTCAAGTTTTTCATCGTTTTACTCAGCCCTCCCAGGAAAATTCCAGAAAGTTATTTTCACAGTCCACGGCCGCTCCCGTCAAAATCATCTACCAGTCGTCCAACCATCTGACACAATATAATCTGGAAACCGGGAAGAGTTATACCTTCTGGGTTGTAACGCCGTGTAGTGCGTCGAAAGTTAATCGACGTTTCGGAGGAATGCTGCCTCTATATTCAGGATCGAATAATAAGCCAAGAAAGAACCAGCCTGAATCAGGTAACAATCAGAGCTGGAGGCGATGTATTCCTACGAAACGTCGGTTTATTTTCACCAGACTACACGGCGTTATAACCAGAAGATATAAATCTTCATAAGCATCGGAGTGGGAACATCAGGTCCTACATAGACAGTGACAGAATCGTGAAACAGCTCCCTTCTCCACACACACTTACAGGGTGTTTCACGACTTTAGGGCATAACTGCAGGAGGTGATTTCCTAGGTCTTTGTGATCAAAAAAGTTCATATAAACATGTGTCCGATTTTGGACGGTTACGGAGTTATGACCGTTTTAAACTCAGAATAGAAGGTAACGATTACTGACAATAAACGGAACAAATAAACCAGCATAATACATGATACATTTAAAGTATGAATGTACAGTTAACTTCGTGAAATTACCTTTAATTTGAATTGATTGGTGCTTAAAGCTGATTTTCGAAAATGTCACCGCCGGCCGCAACACAGGCTGCCGCTCGGTTGTGAACCGCGCCGGACATACCAACCCACCACGCCTTAGGTACATCTCTAGTGTCAAGATAACGAGAACGCTCTGTCTGTAGCTGACTAAAGATAGCGACCCGCCAGCTGACAGACGCGGTTCACACGAGGGCGTGTACGAGAATGAAAAAAACGGTCTAACTCCGTAACCGTCCAAAATCGGACACATGTTTATATGAACATTTTTGATCACAAAGACCTAGGAAATAACCTCCTCCAGTTATGCCCTAAAGTCGTGAAACGCCCTGTATATATACAACGTGACTTAGAGTCGTGTTTCCTTCCTCGTGGGAATCCCGCCGCTGAGAGGAACGGCTGCGTTTCAAGTACGGGGAATTCCCCTTGAACGTATCTGAGAATTTGAGTCAAAGTTCCGACACCGGTTCTGCTGATCATGCAGGTTACTGTGTTACCCCGCTCCTGTGAGGGAAAGCGCAGCCTAGTCTGTGGCTGGTTGCGACTCTACGATAAGGAGTTCGATTTCCAGTCGGGAGAAGGTTTTCATTTTGCGACCTACGTCAAAACCGGTGTTGGGAGACAAGGAGGGTTTTCGAAACTTCGGTAAATAAAAAGTGTGAAGACCCATTTAAGGGTGCAACTGCTAGGCCTAAGGCCGCGTTAAGTGCATACCGTCCTGATGCTCTTCTGCGTCGGCCGGAAGTGATTTCTAACTAAAATTATTTACGCTGTGATGTAATGAAACGAATCTCGACTATTAACCGTAATCTGTGACATAACTTCACTGCACTGAACAAATATTTGTCATACACGAGACTCAAGGCTGTCAGAAGCGGCCTTCAGAAGTTGCACTGTTCCTACATTCAGTTCCGGTATCTGTGAGACCTTCTTTTTTGTAGATAAAAGCCTCGAGCTATGTGGGATGGATGTAGCAATGGTTGACACGAATACACACTGATATTAGATTCTGGTTTCGCCACACAAACAACGATACAGAGCAGGTTGTGATCTCCTACAGTGAATATGGAGACAGGAAATCTCTCCGAAACGTTCATATCCACCTAGCATACTATGGAATTATGCCCCCATAAGACCACAATATAAATATATTTAACTTTCACGCAACGCAAAGTGCTTAAAACAATACAGCTTACAGAAGCAGCAATCACAGCCCCCTTGATCTCCTGACTTCCTGTGTGACGCGTCATGCCTCAACAGTGAAGTTATACAGGCTGCTTTCAGTACGGTTTTGTTAATAGGATGCGTTTTAAGCGACATATATGTCTTAGTCCCATTGTTGCAATATTTACATTTCAAAGAACAGTAATTCTTTCGTCAGATATTGTGGGGCCTGATACAGTTCAACAGACAGACACATTAACATTTTAATGACACAATAACTACAAAAATATTCCTGGTAGCCGTATCAAGACTTTTGTATTTTTAATAGGATTGTTTGCTGTCTGGAAAACTAAGATATCTCCTTACAAAAGTTCATCAGCCGCCATATTGTTATTTCTTTCACATTTAAATTACTTGAAACATTTACATTAACAATTGTAACCAACAGCATGGAGTTGATTAAAATGATTTGGACACTTCTGTTACATCCCTTAGCAATCTTTTCGCTCGGAATGCTTTGGGGACTAGATCCATGCGAAGAACAGAGGGGTCATTCGTTGAAGAATAATTAAAATTTGGTGACAAGTGTGTCACATGTTAATGTATTCACTCCAAGCTGGAAGAACTGTTTGTTTAACACGTGTGTTTCGTGCTTATGTTAGAGAGAGAGAAACTAGAGGAACGTCAGTTCGGAGCGTAAGATTTATCCAGGACGCGAGCAGTGCTGACTAACCTGGATGTTCGTGAACGAATATTATTCGCTTTAAGTAACAAGTTTCTCTCCGCGGACCTACTGGAGAACACCGAAATATAATACAAAATGTACTTCATACTCTTACCAATATGTACGGTAGACACGGCGGTTAAAGCAATATACAAGTGTTGTGGCAGAGTTTTTGTATTAAAGAGTTCTGTTTTATGCGATATAACGCCGTGTAATGTGTTGAAAGAAAGGAGACGGTTAGGAGGAATATGTCGCCTTCGTCTTCAGGGTAGAAGATGGAGGTAATATGTTCTTCTGAAACGTCTTTTGCACTTCAGCTGACTAAACGGCGCTTTGTTCCAAAAGACAGAGCCCTCCACAACCATTGCAGTGTTTGGATGCTCCTCCAATCCACATTCCACATTGTTTTCGCTTCAATAAGTGAGTAAAGTTTAATTTCTCAACTTGAATGTCGTTCCCCTAAACTTCCGGGCACTGACAAGGATAACCAGCACATCATAGGGGAGTGACTGCAACCAGTTATGCAGCTCACTGCAACAGTCACAAGGCCGTCCGACTGGTCTGACATCTGACAGTGGCACATGTTACTGCCTTACCGACGGGCAGCGAACAGTACAAAGCAATACCGGAACTGTTTGCAAGCCTCACCAATTGCTCGGTGGTCTGACATCTGACAGTGGCACATGTTACTGCCTTACCGACGGGCAGCGAACAGTACAAAGCAATACCGGAACTGTTTGCAAGCCTCACCAATTGCTCGGTGGTCTGACATCTGACAGTGGCACATGTTACTGCCTTACCGACGGGCAGCGAACAGTACAAAGCAATACCGGAACTGTTTGCAAGCCTCACCAATTGCTCGGTGGTCTGACATCTGACAGTGGCACATGTTACTGCCTTACCGACGGGCAGCGAACAGTACAAAGCAATACCGGAACTGTTTGCAAGCCTCACCAATTGCTCGGTGGTCTGACATCTGACAGTGGCACATGTTACTGCCTTACCGACGGGCAGCGAACAGTACAAAGCAATACCGGAACTGTTTGCAAGCCTCACCAATTGCTCGGTGGTCTGACATCTGACAGTGGCACATGTTACTGCCTTACCGACGGGCAGCGAACAGTACAAAGCAATACCGGAACTGTTTGCAAGCCTCACCAATTGCTCGGTGGTCTGACATCTGACAGTGGCACATGTTACTGCCTTACCGACGGGCAGCGAACAGTACAAAGCAATACCGGAACTGTTTGCAAGCCTCACCAATTGCTCGGTGGTCTGACATCTGACAGTGGCACATGTTACTGCCTTACCGACGGGCAGCGAACAGTACAAAGCAATACCGGAACTGTTTGCAAGCCTCACCAATTGCTCGGTGGTCTGACATCTGACAGTGGCACATGTTACTGCCTTACCGACGGGCAGCGAACAGTACAAAGCAATACCGGAACTGTTTGCAAGCCTCACCAATTGCTCGGTGGTCTGACATCTGACAGTGGCACATGTTACTGCCTTACCGACGGGCAGCGAACAGTACAAAGCAATACCGGAACTGTTTGCAAGCCTCACCAATTGCTCGGTGGTCTGACATCTGACAGTGGCACATGTTACTGCCTTACCGACGGGCAGCGAACAGTACAAAGCAATACCGGAACTGTTTGCAAGCCTCACCAATTGCTCGGTGGTCTGACATCTGACAGTGGCACATGTTACTGCCTTACCGACGGGCAGAGAACAGTACAAAGCAATACCAGAACTGTTTGCAAGCCTCACCAATTGCTCGGTGCTCTAGTCAGCTTGTGATCCAAGATTCGATTCCCGTCTGATCAACAACTTCTTAAAATTTTTTTGTGACCCAGCAATCGTAAATTTTCATGTTCTGTGACAGTCCAAACCTTTTACAATTCTCCACGGGACGCTATGGTCCTCTTAGTCATTTCGGAAGAGTGACTGATTTATTAGCAAGTTATGACTTGCTTTTCGCACCTGGACAGAAACAACTGCCTCATTTTGTTACCTGATCTCACAACCCTATGGGCATTCAAGGCCTGTTACAGGCATACATTTACTTTTTTTTTTTGTGTGCAACCTTTTTTTCCCATTGTCTTTGTTCTCTGAAGACATGCTAATATCATCTTCATCTGTTCTTTGGTAATTTATCTTCAAATTCTCTCCTTTTTTTCTATCTTATTCTGTTTCTCTCGTCTACAGATCTCACAAATCTTGTCTGAGCATCCGAGCTGCCTCTGTCCATGCCCATGCATCACAATGAGCATGCTGTTCTTTTTAAGTCAATGCATTGTTTTTACCTTCGTCAGTCTTCACTTCCAAAGTACATCCCTAACTAAGCAGTAAAATTTGTCTGCATTTGTTATCTTTCTCTGATATCTTCTTGACTCTTTGGTTTGTTACCTTCCCCTCCCCACTGTGTTTGCCACACTGGTGTTGTAATGATGAGTAAAGCAAGCAGGAACAGATGAGCAAGACATGTAGCATTGTAACGCACCGATGCACATCTAAATGCATTATATGACTTTGTTATTTCATAGCAGACTAAATGAGCATTTCTGGTGTCTGGATATTCTCCATAATTTAAGTTTTAGCTGATATATCTGGTCCATGTTATCCTGTTTATGCCAGTTACATGGAAAGTGAGACTTATATCATAACATCTGTCCATCCATCAGTCTGTGTGTGCTAATATTCGTAATGTCCGAATGAAAGTACAGCAAAGACTTTCACATTTATTTACTTTCCTGCCTCACTAGGCATTACACCCTTTCCAGTGAACTTCTCTTCCTCGAGGACAGAAAGCTGTTCAGTTGGTTACAGCAGCAAACTGACTTGCTGTAGGTTTCAGGCCAGAGATGAGCAACCAGCAACCAGTCACAAAATGTCCCTGCCATTGAAGTTGATCTCTTAGCTGGAAAGATCTGGAGGGGTTGACTTCAACATATAACATCACTTTCATGAGTACAGTTTTGCATATATAAATATTTGTTATTCCAACTTCCAGATGCTCTAAGTATCTCAACCACAATCTTCTGGGATGTAATGCCACTGGAAGTCCCCTGACATTACAGAGGAACCTGTCTCCTCCATCTACAGGGTAAATGAATCAGCCACACAAGAAAGTAGCACTGCTTATTGCCTGCTTCATGTTGGTTCCTTGCTTGGCTTACACTTTTACCCTGAAAGTGGAAGTGCTACATCCTCCAAAAAGGTCAGTGAGTTTTTACCTAATTACACTGCATTACATCCGAGAAGGCTCTACTGTTCCTAGTTATCGCGGTAATAAACTCAGATACAGTAGCTTTAAGTATCTTTACAGTGTCATGAAAATCAGTGCTAGACTTACACACACAAATATGTGACACAATGACAGGTTTTTAAAACGAAACATTTCCATTTTAAGTATATATTGTTAAGTGAGTTAAGTATTTTTGGTTGCCATTGTCTATATTATCCTTCGCCATGCTGCTAAAAATTAACAATATCTTTCGCCATGCTGCTAAAAATTAACAATATCTTTCGCCATGCTGCTAAAAATTAACGATCTCATTTTACAAAATTTCATCTCTTCTTAGGTCATGCAGATCCACAGGATTTCCACCCAGTGTGACCAACATTGCAGTGAGTAGTGGCAGCTTTCATGCCAGCAACATCTGTAACAAATCGCTGCAGACATCCAGACACCACCAGGGGTTCAGCATCACAGCTGCAGTCGAGTGTGCATCCTGCTGCTCCTCAGGCATCTGTCATCAGAGGGATTCTGAGGGCTCAGAAGGACATTTTGGTGATAAAAAGAAAGTTTGGATGAGGTCAGCAGTCTGTGAAAACACAGAGTCGCCTGTACAGGTCAGAATGCCAATCCTCTTAATTACTTCTACATGACCAGTCTCTCCATTCCAACTCCCCCCTCCCCAGCTGCCCAAAATAAGATTAATAATTACAAATTGGGAGGAAAGTATAATGAACGGAGACAGCAATCTGCCTGTATTGATAACTGACCCACCAAATACTACAAATGTAGAACCTGGATGAGTGATCACTGTTACTGTTATATTACATTGCATTTCCTTGATCCAGAGTTAGTCAAATGACTGTAGGATGTGGAACATGTCATATAAACACAAAGAATATCCAAAAACAGCAATAACAACAATGGTTACACATAAGGTTATTCAGAGATACATCACATTGTCAACTCATGCTATATTTATACACCCTTTAAATCTCATATTGCCAACTTACACAACCCTCACATGGATGAGTCACTATTCAGGCAATAGGCATGCATCAACAGAGTAGCACAAGTTTGTGATTAAGGGGGCATTAACCTGCAATGCTATAAAAATCACACATTCTACTAAACTTTGCCTCATAAATCAGGTTTCCATGTTATCTTCACAAAAATTTGCATACCTATTCAATAATGTCTAGTCTTTTGATATACCACATCCAGAATTATCTTATTCTGTACTTATAGTCTGTAATCGTTAATAAATTGTTATAAATAATTTAACACATTATGATAAACATTGTACCTTTTCTCATTAACTACTAAGTATCCAGGTCTGAAACTTTTTTTACATTTAGAAAACAAGAGTATTTAAAAAGTGAACCATTTAGAAATTGCATCTTGCCTCTCATTCTAAATTTAAAAAATTTTAAACAAATTATATAATTTTCTATTGTTATTATTTTTTTAAAAAATGTTTTTCTCAAAATTACATTTCTAAATGATTCAGATTCTTCTAGTACACATGACAGTGAACCACAAAAAATTTCAAGTCAATAGGTTGATTAGTTTCTGAGAAAAGGTACATTATATCAGTAAAACTGAAGTTTGCAGGGGGGAAAAAGCAAAAAAACAAAAATGCTGCATTTTCATGCTATAATTTTGTATTCTGAACTTTCTTTGATGCAATTAGTGTTCTCCTGCTCCATAATCTGCCTCCTTTTGCTTCTCTTCATCATCTTGCCCTCTAGCTGCTTTTTCTTTTCTTTCTTCTCTCTTATTGGGCACCGCTTTTTGTCCTGATGCTTCATCCAGTTTCTGCAACGTTGTAACACGCCGAACTCCAGGAACAATTCCCATCTTGTTCAGAGCTTTTGCCCTTGCAATATTGCCATCACTGAATCAAGCTACATCAGCATCAACAGCTGTCTCAACTGTAAACTGGGATGCAAACCCTGCCAAAGCATACCATTGAGTGACTCCTTTATATTTTGAGTTCTATCGAGACGGCCGAGCAGAGCGGACGTGTATAGGACAACGCTCCGTGAGGCACGTGCTTTATAGTGAAAGTTGTAGTGAGGTGACCTCTGTAAACGTTATCTAATAGTCAAATTGATTAACGCCAACATGCAGCAGTATTGCAACGATCAACCAATGAGTCAGCCTGGCATGAAGGATGACAACAGATATCAACAACAGCAACGGTTCCTGAGGCAACCAACCCAACCATCCCAACAGACAACAAAAAAAAGTAAACAGTACTATCATAGGATGTCATCAACTAGTGAAGATGATGCTACCATCCAGGATTCAAATGAAAACATGTGGCAAAAAGTGAAGAACACAAAAAGAAGGAAGGTAAATCAACCTGTCAGTCAAAACATAACCTTAACAAACAAATATAGTCAACTAAATGCAGAAGATGATGAAAACACCACCACCAAAATAATGGAGAATAAAATCCAGAAACCACCTCCAATATTTGTATCTGGCGTAACAAACTATCAAGACATGGTACATAACCTGAGCAGCATAGTTGAAATAGAACAGTACACTACCAAAACCTTAGTAGACAACACTATAAAAATTAACTGTCATACTCCAGACACCTATCGTAAACTTGTACAATATATACGTGAAAAGAATATCATTCATAATACATACCAACTGAAAGAAAATCGTGCCTTCAGGATACTCATTAAACATTACATTTTTCAACTAACCTACAAGAAATTGAACAAGAACTCAATAAAGAAGGACACAAAGTAAGAAATATCATAAATGCAAGAAGCCGGATGACCAAAGAACCACTTAACGTATTTTTTGTCGATTTAGAGCCTGCCACTAACAACAAAGAAATCTACAAACTAGCAAGACTACAAAACCAAACAATTGTAACAGAACCTCCAAAAAAGGCCAAAGGGATCCCACAGTGCATGCGATGCCAACAATATGGTCATACAAGATCATACTGTAACAAACCGTATGTACAATGTTATATTTTAGCGTCCTGTTGCACTGATTTAAGTTCATGATTTGTTTATTCCGTCTTGCAGTGCATACACTTATCTATCTTCTTCTCTCACTCTCACTACATGTTTCGGCATAAAAATGCCATCTTCAGGTGCTACTCAATTCACGTCAAACTAGTACATTGTATGCCTTGTCTTCACTTTAAAATAACTAAAATATATGTCCATCATATATATTGACAAATGTCAATCGTAAAAATATTAAAA